GACAGTGGAGGCGAGTGCGGTGGGTGTAGGTTGGTGCTCCTGACACCGGTCCGCCAGCCTCTGTACGATGGATACGCAAGTGACCGACCAGGCCGATGCGTGAAGTGACGGTGTGACTGCAGTGAGGACAGGCGTAGTCCTGATCCTCACCGCTGGTGACGGAGGTTGCAGGGGTTGTGCCTGTTGTTGTTTTAGATATGTCTGTGGTGATGTCGTGTGCGACAGACGCCGGACTGGCCGTCGTTGTGGCAGTGAAGGAGGAAGTGGAGGAGTAAAAGGGTGGTAAAGACGGTGGCGTCGATGTTGGTTTCGGAGAGGTTGGTCGGTGCACAAGGTGATGATTTGGGATTGGGGTCTGGCGGGGTGGGTGTGTCGAGGCTGCGGTCAATTCCGCTCTTGTGGATGCGCATGTGACCGAATAGTCCCATGCGATGAGTGAAGGTGCGAGGGCAGTGTGGGCAGTGGAGGCGAGTGCGGTGGGTGTAGGCTGGTGCTCCAGGCACTGGCTCGCCAGTCTCTGTGCGACTGATTCTCAAGTGACCGACCAGGCCGACGCGTGAGGTGAACGTGCGATCGCAGTGAGGGCAGGTTTAGTCCTGGTCCTCACGTCTGGAGTCGGATGCTGAAGGGCTGATGTCTGGTGTTGTGTCAGGGGTGTGTGCGGTGTTGTCTTGCGCGACAGACGGCTGGGCGGCCGTCGTTGGGGCAGTGGAGGAGGAGGAGGAGTAGGAGGAGGACAAGGAGGAGGATGGAAGTGGTGGTACAGAAGAATTTTCAGAGTTAGATGGCGGCAGAGAGGACGAGGATGAGGCGTGCGGGAGGACGATGTTTGGTGCAGTTCGAGAGGTACATTTGATCCGAAGATGTCCAACAACGCCGATTCGTGCCCGGAATGTCCGTTGACATCGAGGACACGTTGGAAGCGGTTGCGCGGCGGCGTTGCGTACACGGCGAAGTTGTGATTTGCGTGCTTCGCGTTTCATTTTGGCGGCAGCGATGCGGTTGGCTTCATAGATAGCAGTGCCCGTCTTCACTGTTCTCCTCGATGTCGGACAACTGCGGGCGAGCTCTTCCCAGTTCGTCGGGTTGATTTGCAGGCGCTTCAGTGAGGACTTCAGGGTATCCTTGTAACGGCGAATTTGGCCTCCTTGACGACGAGAACCCATTGCGACGTCTCCGTAGAAGAGTCGTTTTGGTAGTCGCTCGTCGTCCATGCGCACCAGGTATCCGCTCCAGCGCAGCTGCATTTGTCTCAAGATGAAGAAGATGCTGAGCATTCCCGTTCGTTCCAGCACATCAGTGTCGGGGATGCGATCCTGCCTGTTCAGCCTCAGAATGCGACGAAGACAACTGAGGTGGAAGTGGTTCAGCCGGCATGCCTGCCTCGTGTACACCGTCCAGGTCTCTGCTCCGTACAGTAGCATCGGCAGGATGACGGCCTTGTACATCTTCAGCTTCGTGTTCAGTTGAAGACCGTGACGATTCCAAACTGTGCTTTGGAGACGACCGAAGGCTTGACTGGCTTTCGAGATCGTGTTGGCGACTTCGTCATCGATCTTGGTGTTGCGGGAGAGATAACTGCCCAGGAACGGGAAGTTCTCCACCACTTTCAGTTGGGTCCCATTTACGTTGATTTGCGACGGCGCTTTGTGGGCTGTGGCTGAGTTGGGTGGCGGTTGATGCATCACCACCGTCTTCTGCGTGTTAATGATTAGACCGATGGTCTCGCAGGCGGCGGAGAACAGGTCCACGCTCCGTTGCATCTCCTCTTCCGAGATGGTGTTCAGGGCGCAGTCAGCGGCGAAGAGGAGTTCGTGAACGGTAGTTGTGGATACGCGCGATTGGAAGTGCATCCGTCGTTGATACAGGAGGTGACCGTCCGTCCTGTAGTCGATGCGGATTCCAGGGCATTCGTCGCGGAAGGCGTCCATCAGCATGGCAGAGAACATAAGACTAAAGAGGGTAGGCGCCAGCAGGCATCCCTGCTTCACTCCGTTGGTCACTGCGAATGCCTCTGACACAGCTCCGTTGTCCGTGACTCGCGCCATCATACCGTCGTGCAGCTGACGTACCATCTGCGTGAATCGTTCCGGACAGCCGAATTCCTGCATGATCTTCCACAGTCCTTCACGATTTACCGTGTTCGGCAGAAGGCCCAGTTCCAGGCGGTTATTGAGGCAGTTGAGAAGGATGCGAGCGAAGATCTTCCCAGCTATGTTCAGTAAGTAGATGTCACGGCGATTGTAGCAGAGTTGGCAGTTGCCTTTTTGTTTGTAGAAATGCACGATGGTTGCGTCCTTGAAATCTTGCGGGACTTCACATTGACGCCACATCTCCTGGAAGAGCGCAGTCAGGAGATCCATGAGTTGGGGACCTCCATGCTTGTAGACCTCAGCAGGGATCGCGTCCGCTCCGGGTGCTTTCCCGCTGGAGAGCTGTTGCACGGCCCTGATGGTTTCCTGGAGAGATGGCGGGAGGTCGAGTTGCGCGTTGGTCTGCACTTGCGGCAAACGCTCGATGGCGGCGTCGGAGATGGCGGAGGGGCGGTTGAGGACGCCTCGGAAATGCTCGGCCCATCGCTGCAGGATTTGCGTCTTCTCAGTCAGAAGAGTGCTGCCGTCGGCGCTGAGGAGAGGAGCAGTGCCCTTCGTCGGCGGACCGTAGACAGCTTTGATTGCGGAGAAGATGTTCTTCCATTCGTTGCGGTCCGCGTATCCTTAGGATCTCCTCAGATTTTGGCGTAGTCCAGGCGTCCTGCATCTCGCGCAGTCTTTGCTGAAGTTGGCGGCGACAGCGGTAGAAAGCAGCTTTGTTGTCCTCGGTGGAGTGATCTACGTTGGCTTTGGGTAGGCGGTTCTTCTCAGCAAGCTGTTTTCTGATGGTGGCATCGTTTTCGTCGACCAAGTCCTGGTGTTAGCGGGGAGCGCGACCGAGGACGGCGAGCGCCGTCACCTGGACCGTGTCTCGCAGTTAACACCAGCGATTTTCCACAGAAGCGTTCTCGGCGGCGGCGGCGTCGGCAGCGATTGGAAGGTTGTCTAGCCGTTGAGCTAGCTCATTGCTGAAATGAAGATGGTGAGCAGGCAAAGAAAACAAGCCAACATTTAGCTTACCTGGGGGTCGTTTTTCTTGTGGTCTCCTGCAATGCTGTAGGCGAATTCGCATCTTCGAAATGACGAGGCGATGGTCGGTCCACCCGTCAGCGCCGGCGATCGCCTTCGTAACCAGCACGTCCCGCTAGTCTCGCCTTCGGACGAGGACATAGTCCAGCAGGTGCCACCAACGCGACCGAGGATGCCTCCAGGTGGCCTTCTCTCGCTCCGGCAGACAGAAGAACGTGTTCGTCAGGATGAGACGGTGTTCGGCGCAGGTGCGGAGCAGCAGCAGTCTATTGTCGTTTGAGCCGCGGAGACCGTGGGTACCCAGCACTCCTCTCCAGGCAGTATGGTCTGTGCCGACGCGGCGTTGAAGCCGCCGATGACAATCAACTTGTCCGCCTTCGTAGAATTTTTCTGTTGCGGCGGCGTCGGGGCATCTCATCGGCGGAGCGGAGGCGCTGATGATGGTGGCGAATTGGCCCCCACCCCGAAGAGGCAGACGGAGGCTCATCAGGCGACCGTTGATGCCCTGCGGCAGGCTGGGCAGTCGTCCCACGATGTCGTTCCGATGGCAAAGGCAACACCCGCGTCTCGTCGCTCTGCCTTGGGCCGACCACTCCAGAAGAAGGTGTAACCGGCACCCACCTCCTCCAGTTGGCCTTGTTCGGAGAATCGGGTCTCGCTGATTGCGGCGATGTCCACCTTGTATCGCGCCAGTTCTTGTGCCCCTAACATTGTCCTCCGTTCCGGTCGGTTGCTCCTCGGATTGTTTAAAAGGGAACGAACATTCCAGGCTACCAGAGTGAGCGGACTCACCCTGCCAGTCGGGTGACAACGAGTGGGGCGACGGAAAGGAGATGTAGAAGAAGGTGACGAAGGAGAAGTATAGGCAGAAGAATAGGACGAGGAGGAGGAAGAAGAGGTAGGATGTGGAGAATGTGCATAGTTGTTGGTGTTGTTATTGGTATTGTTGTTGTTTCGATTTTGATTGTTTCGAATATGTTTGGACGTCCTCGGCCCTTGCTAGCCTGTAGACGGCCTGGTGCCCAGCAATGTTTAGGCCACCTTTTCTAGGTCCTTCCCCTCTTGGGGTCTGGCAGTGCCACTCCTGAATAGGGCTGCCATGTGCCGTTTTGGCACGGCCGAACTCCGCTATGGAGCCACGACTTTATGTTCGTAGTGGGGAGCGACTCGAATTCGCCGTAAGCCGCGGTCTCCGACAGCATAGGTGGGCGCGTCAAGGCGATGTCGGTGTGGAGATCCATCCCGTCACCGGCTGTTCAACGGCATGCAGAGACGAACCACGTCACAACGGTGCCGACGCAAGGTTCCATCCGACCTTCAATCCAGCGGAATCCGCAAACCCTGTGCACACGGCACAGCGCACAGGGCCCCCTTACCTGGTTTAGCCCGCAGGTCGAGACGGTTGGCCGGGGTGTGGCCGCTGAGAAGAGCCCAGCTGCGTTGAGCCACGTATGAGAGTTGAGTGCCAGCAAGTGGACGCTAGGCGTAGTCTCACCTGCATGCAAGTGAGCGACCGCCACGACCATCACGATGTCCTCTGTCCCACTGTAATTTTAGGTCGTCGTATCATTATTCATAAAGGAACTGCAGTTTGGCGTAAGTTACATGGATCAGCTCCTCAGAAACACAGCGCCACATTGATAATATGCTGTTGTTTGACAGAACAGAGTGACTTAACTAACAAAATTCGCGTTTTATGGATTTCGTGAGGGTAAACTAGCTTTGCTGCATATCGTGAGCTGCTATTTGAAAATAAATATCTTGTAACGAACTGCGTACCTACATCGTGTAGGTAGCTTCACAGATAAGAAAGAATTTCTATGAGCCTCTCGGAGAAATTTTGCTATTTGGAGCATTTACCCTCAGGCCGACCATCCTCAGAGACGTTCGCGCATAGGCAAAACCCAAAAGTTACGGAGAAAACTTCGACGTGGATGTGTTGCCTCCCTCTGGAGGTGATGATGATGACGACAATGAAACGACAGCAGATGTAAAGGAGCACATGGAAGGAGAGAAAAAGGATTGCCGATACAAGCGAAAATGCGAGTTCAAGGAACTAGTTGATCAGAAGAAGAAGCGATGGCTGGAACAATGGCTTTATTCGCCTGACGTTTCGGATTCTCTCTTGAATCCATCATCAGAGACAGTTGCAGAAAAGGGTGGCTAATGTACAGGAAGTCGCAGTATTTATAGGATGCGGTCGCCATGCT